CATATTGATGATATTTCATCCCGTGTTGGTAGATTACTTCTCTCAATGTCTTCATGTACATATTGCTCAAAGCATGTCAGGTCTAGCCCAAAGAACTCCAAGAGACGATGCAAATTCAGTTCCACTGTGTTTATTAGCTACAACCCCTAGACAGAAATCTCCCCAAACTGAAACCTAGCTCCCAAGCCAGCCAGCCACAACACCATGAATTCCTCAGGGAGGTGCCAGCCTCATCCTCTTGAACTTCCCATGCTTCTCCGGCGAACTAAGAACATGCTTATCTCCCTGAGCCTGGCCTTCATAATTCCATTTCATCACAAAGTATGACTTAGGACACCTAGAACTACATATCCTACATAGTTAGGATAAGCTTCTTTCAGACAATGCATCAGAAATGCAGAGTTTCTCTCAAGGTCCTTCTTTTACCTTAGACCCATCATGAGTCATCACAGTTCAAATCCAGCACACTTTATAGCAAAAGTCACCATCATTTTATGATAGCTTAACATTGATTGGTATCCATCACAGCCCTGAGCTTCTGTTGCCTTCAGGACTGATTGGATGCAGCTCCCATTAAATGGCCATTTGCAAGATTTGGGAACAGACAACCCCTGAATATGATTGAGATTTTTGCTCTTGATATACTATGAGGTTGCTGCAGGCTCAGAACAGCACCTCTTCAATTTTGCTCTGCTTGTTACAAGGCTCTGTAGTAGAAATGACATGACTAGGGCAAATAATGTCTAATAAAGGCCTTCGAGTCATATCACTTGAACCAGCACAGCACTTTCTGGGGGAGGAAGTATTGCTCTCAAAGGATGAATTGTTTTCCTAGCTGCTAAGATTCAGTCTATGTGGATAGGACTGTGTATTGCCACAAAACAGAGGGATTACCATTTTGGTCCCTTAAATGAACTGGAAAGCAATTTTTAAGGAGGCAGAGGAGCAAAAGGATAGGCAAGAGTAATTGAGAGTGCACGTGTGTGTATGTGCACATAGTGGTACTATAGTTTACAGAAAGCACTCCCTTCTGCCGCTTAGATGTCTTAAGCTCAATGAACGAACCCTGTAGATCAAGTACATTAGTTTGCAGCTCATTATTAAAAATGGCTAATTTAGGTATTGATTACAAAGGCCAGCTTACGTCATTCTCAGAAGTCCCGCAGAGGCTACAGGATTTGCATTCAATGCATTGCCACTGATAGGTTTTGACAGCCTCGGTCATATTTGCCGTGAACTGCAAGCAGGTTGGGTGACCTGGAGAAATGGGAAACATCTATTCTTAGTATAGTATACTTTGAATGGCTCTTTGAATCAAAGTCATACAGTTCAGGAACAAAACATACATGGACATGGACCAATCACAACATGGGTTCCAAACTAATGGATATCCAAGAGGAAAGCAAGCATTAACCCTTTTGCTGCCGGGCACAAGAAAAATAAGTCATTCCTTCCCACTGCCCCATTGGCAAAGCAATTTTATTCAGAGCTCTTAAAAACTTTGTGGATCTTATTTTCCTTTTTTAAAAAAGCAAGATGGTGGAAGGAAGGAAGGAAGGAATAGGCTCTTCCTCTTCCTTTATAAATGAAGGGTTTGGAGGAAGAAGGTTTTTATATATATATGTATATATATTGCAGATTTATTTGAACTGATTGAAACATAACTACAGTACCAATTCATTCTCCACTTTATGAATACAGCAGGACAATGGGCAAGGTTATATTTTTAAGAGCTCTGCACTGCTAGGTTGGCCTGCACAGAAGAAATCAAACTGCACCACTAAACTTTCAGGATCAACCAAAAAATCTCCCCAAATCCAAAACAATTTACAAAAGGAAGAGATGAAGGAGAGCTAGCAACAGGGGAAGGACACTACTGCTGAGACTCTAGACCCTTCCCTACATGCGTGTAGACGGCTTGGCCAAACAGCAGGACTACTATAGCAGGATCAGCAATGGGGGGTTCTGGAGGAGGGGAAATACAAACAAACATACATAAGGCAGGATCAGCGTTCTTTCTTTAAAACAAGAAAACAGTAAGGAAACAACACATTTTGTTTCTCCCCAGTCATTTGCCCTATCCTCAATGTTTCTGGCATAAGCAAAATGCATATTTCTACAAAAGAATGTTTTTTATCCCATGATCCCCCTTCCCAAGTGTTAACATGCACCAAAATGTCCGTGTGCAGGAGCAGAGGAGGATATAACACTTATGTGTACCTGTGTAGTAAATGTGGCATTTTATATTTGTGGTCATTCAACAAGTCTTGGGTGGAAAGTCATTAGCAAAGGATCCTTGCTCGCAACAAAGGTGGTTACAAGGAACAGCAACTAAGAATGTGTGATGAAAATTCCCAGATAACTTATTCTCCCTCTGTTATTTCCCCCCCCCCCACATAATTGTAGGTAGGCAACGTTCCCTTTCCTTTCTTCTAGTCTATCAAAGAATTCCTATGAACAACAAAGAAATCGTGTCTCAGTTCTGAAATCTTTCAGTCTCAAACTATATATTGGCTGTGACGGGTATACGGGGGTGGAGAAAATGGATAGCGGGGAAAAGGTTCACTCAGCCTTCCTATCCACCATTTCTCCATTTCGACTGACAATTGTCATAGTATTCTACATTTGACACACAGGCCTGGCCTGGAAAAAAAAAAGCTTTATTCCTGCATGAAAGAGCAAAGAAATGCTATTTAAGTATTCTTAGAAGCTGGAGCCTGCACTCGGGGTAGACCTGTGGATAAGACACAAGGTCTTCACCTCTATCAGGCTGTCAGACTAAATCCTTTGATCTCTTTGCTTTCCTTGGATATGGCTTGCAAAATTGCAGGCAATTTATGTCAGCTACCTGTTTTGAAAAACTTTCCTGCTTAACCCATGAGAAAGGAGAAGAGTTATGTTGTTTTTTTTAAAAAACGAACAAACAACCTCTTAAGTCTTTAAATCATTCCATGTGAGTTTTGAGAAGCTTTTTGGGATCATCATTTGACAAATGTTTGAGATTTATTAAATTTGGGTTCGGGGGTATACAAGTAGCAATGCTGGGAAGCCAACCCACTCTTCTCACTCTTCTACCAAGTTTTATGTGGATTAAGTAGTATACTGGCTATCTTTTATTCTTCACATCCCAGGTAGGTTTTACTTCTCAGTCACCTTTCTCTTCAAAGATCTCACTGTTCATTCCAATATACCTTTTACACCCCAAAACATTGCTTCAGTTTCCGCTTGTAAGTACCTCCCTTCTGTCCATTTCCTGTCTCCAGACCATCTCATCTTCCCATCCTCATACACCATGCTACATATTGCTTTCAGTGGATCTGCTTTAATAGTTAGCACTACTCTGCAGCTGAAGAATTTGTTTCCCATTGGTAGGAACTCCTTGCTTTCTTAAGATGCTCAGCTTTTCCTCCTCCCTGGAGGTTAAGATGCCATGGCAGTACTCCACTCTTATCTGTTTCTTTTAATAGTGGGGAGTGGTTTTGCACTTCCTGTACAGGAGCTGCTCCTGTATTTTAATCACTGCAGAAACAGGCACAGGACTATGTTAGGGTGGGAATGAGACATAGGTTAGTTGCCAGTTTTTGCACCATCATTTTGGTCAGTTGAAGGGAGTGCTACTCAGCCTCCACAAGTCACAGCATTGCAAGAATGGTAGCAGTGAGGACAATTGCAGCTTGCTGTGAACTGGTTTGTGAGAATTTGGGAAGTGAAAACGGGGAGCCCTATAACCATTTCCATACGCTGACTTGTCTCCATTCCTTGTATGTATTTAACAAGTCCTGGTCTTGTGTATCCTCTGACTGTTGCACGTGCATGTCTGTTTCCTTCTCCTGAATTTGGGCAGATCCATATGTTTGTATATTTTGCATCTTGCGTATAACAGTTCCTCTGATCACATAGCTTAGAGAAAGGAATTGCAGAAGAGCAGCAAATCTGTGGGCCAGAAGGAACCTTAAGTAGAAAATCCATGATTGATCTCTCCACCTATTTGTTTTTCTTCCACAAATAACTGCCAAAGGAGAAAAAAGGCATCTGAGCAGTGGCCATGCAGTAGTCCTGCTCCAAATATCCAACTTCCCAAACTGCTGTTAGTCAGAATTGTTTCACTTATGAAATTAATGAGAAGTTCTGAAGGGCTGAACACCCTTTTCACCCATGCCTTTACTAATGGCCCTATTGGGGTCCATTGAAATTACAGAGAGATATCTAATCCCCGATATGCCATGATGAGTAGTAGTCCTAAATTTCATACAACAATAAACAGTGCCTTATTACCTGCCACACCATACTGTCTTCTGCATTTTCATTTTATAGATTTTTTTTTACAAAAGCAAGGAGGATCTCAGAGTACCACAAACAAACATGCAATGAATTGTAGGAAGTTCATCAGATGGAGCACTGCATTTGTGCCAGCCAAAAAGGAAAACACAGCAAGCTGAAAATCCACACTTGGTGTTCAATGTTCAAAATAGTCTAAGAGAAGCAAGAAAGGAGGAGCTTCAAGAATTCAAACAAATTCTTAAAACAATATGCGCTGAAGAGTGACAATGTCCATGTGAGTTTGGCACTGTATTTCTGCTGTTTACAAATTATGAGCCAATTGGTGATTAAAGTTCTGGAATATGGCTGGAGGAACAGTTGCTCTTTCTGAGCCCAACCCACTCCAGAAGGTAGTTGTTGTAGAAATAAATTGGAAGGGAGAGAGCTATCTGTACCACCTTCTGCTCCTGGAGGAAAGGTGAAATAATAATCCAATAAATAAATTATGTTAGGGATTATGAAATTATGGAATGTGGATTGATCTAATTAAAGAGACATGACTGAAAATTATATACTTTTGAACTGATAGCTGGAAAATGATCCTTATTAACTCAGAGAAACCCTACCCTTCCTGGGCTATAATTCTGTGCTCAGAGTCCAGTTACCTAGGTGGAAAACAGCTACTAACCTTTCTAATCTAAGAAATGAAACACATACCTGAAACCAAAGTGTGAACATGTTGAAGTGATTTAGTGTTGGGAAGAATGAGGTCCTAGTCCCCAGGTGCTGGGAGCCACAGAGATTACCTTGGAGAAATTATTCAGAGATGGTTCTAGTCATCTTGGGGAGTCTGTTTCCTGATTTGGTAAATCTCAAATGGCTAACGTTTTGCAGTCACAGAAGCTCTCTGAGTGACTTTAGGCCAATCGTATTCTTTTAGACCACAAAGATTATCTCACAGGGTTGTTACTTGGGGGGGAAAAAAAACTTTTGTTTTGAACCTCCCTTTCAAAGTCAATAGTTTCTCTCAGCTGTAGGTAGATAACACACTATGTTTAATTTAACCCTGGTTAAATCAATTAACCCAACTTTCACAACACGATGAAGCCTAAACTAATCAGACAGAATTCACAACACTGTAGACATAGTTTGTTAGTGAATATGATCATTGAGTAGGTCCTTTTTAAGTGACTTTTCATTATAAAGCACATAACCCCTGTTACTAGCCAGGATTGGATAAAGGGGAGTCTCCAGGACCACTTCCCACCAAAATACTATTCCCTTTTGCCATATGCTCTCTATTTCCACTTCCAGTGGCAAACACCCTGTAATAAGGCATCCGAAGAACAAGAATTTGCATCTCTATCCTGCAGTTGCTCTTCTCATAAATTCTCATAATTCTCAGCCAACATAACTAGCAGTGGCATACAATAGATAGATCTATGCATCGGGAGGGTATTAAGGTGGGAAGAACTCAGTTCTCTTCCAACTGACTAAAAATGGAAATAGTAAGCTTAACTATAGGAAGTCTATTGTAGGTCTCCCTATAACTGAGCTTGACTCTTGGTGACATCATGGACATGTTTCTACATATACATATAATGGAAAGCCGTAAGGAAGTGGTTTGCTATTGCTTCTATCACTACTGTACCTTTTAGCTTTCAAAGTAAAGGTGATCTAGCTATGGAAAGAACAAGCATTTCTGAAAAAAAAAGATATGTTGAGTATGCTATGCTATTCATTTTGGGAGGTGGAATTCTTTTACTGATCTGTATGGAAGCCAACCAATGGCACTATCCTAAGAAATGTTAATAAATTATTAATACATTCAGAATAGCTTTGATATTTGCTCATTCTTGCTACATTGCTACCTTAGACTGACCAGTTACCTATGTTTAATTTGTTGGATTTTGCTAGTACAGCTCCTGTTTTAGGATTATGACATATAAAATGGCAATTGCCAGGGTATTTAATCTGCTTAAGAATTTTTCAAGCAA